TACTGTAGTGCAACAGTTGAATTGCTCCCCTTGGACTTGCTTAAAGTCTTTATCTGGTCATGAATTGTCTTTAGTCAGAAATCATATGATGCCAGGTTATAGGCTAACAGTGTTTATTTGAAATCTCAAGCTTTCAGAGTGTATCCCGTTCATCAAGTGTGTCACCTGATGAAGGGGTTACACTCCGACAGCTTGTGATTTCAGTCAAACTCGTTGGACTCTAATCTGGTTTTGTGTGACTTCTGAAATTGTCCACCTCAGTCCAATACTGGTGCCTCCACATCATGAATTATCCTCGACATCCAGAGTTCTCTGAACTTATTCCGACTTCATTTCCCTCTAAAGCGTATACATTGAACTTGTACACATGCCAGCTCCTTTTTCAAATCCCCCCAACTGCTCCGCTGTAGAAGTATCCTCAAGGGGTTATTCTTACCGATCCAGCTTTATTTCAATAAAATCTGCCTTCTACCAAACCAAAACTGTCTTCTGCTTTTTTTTTTCTTGTCCAGAACAAATTTGAAATGTCCCTTGTTGTGGTTGCTGTTACCGAAATGTTCCCCACATTGAACACTTGTCCGTCTTCCTTCCCCAGAAGCAGATCCGTCATCATGCCATGCCTTGTTGGGCCTCATATGTATTGATGCAAAAATCTCCCCTGGATACATTTCAACAAATCCACCCCTTCTAAATGCTTGAAATTGTGACTATGCCAATTTATATTGGGAAAGTTGAAATTCCCTCATATAATTATCCGATAATTATTCTTGCAAACCTCTGTAAACTGTCTACATGTTTGCACCTCTATTTCCTGCTCAATCTTTGGGGGCCAGTAAAGTAAATGCTCCGTTAACATTCATAAGTTCTACTCCAAAAGCCTGTTTTGTGCACCCTTCAAGGATGTCATCTCTTCTTATTGCAGTAAGTGACTCTTTAGTTAATCCTGCTACATCACCACACTTTTTAAACTCTCTTCTGACTTGCCTCATGATCTAATACCCTGGAAGTTGAGTTGCCAGTCCAGCCCTTCCCTCAACCATGTTTCTGTGATGGCAACAGTATCATACTTCCATGTGTCAATCTGCATCATCTACTCAGCAGTCTTACCTATTAGACTCCTCGCATTAAAGTAAAGACCATCCAGCCTTACCTTTCTCTCTTGACTTTCAAAATAGCTGAACTCACCATGACGTTCTTCTTTGTTGTAGCATAATGTGTCTCTGTTTCATCGCTATGCCGTTTCCCTCCAACCCCACCTGCCGCCCCACATACCATCCCCCACTCCCAGCTGCCAGACTGGTTTAAACACCAAAAAACAAAACCAAACCTACCTGCAAGCATGTTCGTGTCTTTGAGGTTCAGGTGCAGAATGTCCCATTTGTACATGTCCCAGTTGCCCCAGAAATGGCCCCAGTGATTCACGAATATAACACCCTCCCTCTTGCACCAGCTGCTGAGCCACACATTACCCATCTTATTTCTAAACTCACTACCACACGGCACTAGCAATAATCCAGAGATTACAATTATAGAATGACTGCTTTTCAATCTACTGCCTAGCTTCGTGAATTCTCAATGAATGACCTCATTCCTCACTTTGGCCATATCATTGATGTGAACATGTGCAAAGACTTCTGACCCATCACCCTCCATTTTCAGGATGCCCTGAAGCCGCTCAGTGACAGACCTGATGCTGGCATGAGAGAGGCAACACACCATCCTTGTGTTATGTCTTCCGGTGCAGAATCATCTGTCTGCTCCCCTAACTAAAGAACCCCCAATCCCTGCTGCTCTTCCTTTCTTCCTCCTCTCACTCTGTACAGTCAAGACACTTGTGGTGCCACTAGCAGCCACGCCATCTTCCAAAATGGAATACCAGTTATTGATGCATCCCCGTGGGACTCGTGCATTACTTGCCTTTTCTTTCTGGATTGTCTGGTGACTTATTCACTCCTTTCCTCTAGCAACTTGAATTGTGATGTAAACACATTTCTAAACATGCTATCCATGTAACTCCCAGCCTCACAGATGTGCTACAATGTCACAAACAGTTTTTCAAGCTTTGAGACCTGGAGCTCCAGCTTCTGAAGTTGGGAACACTTCCTGCACATGTGGGCATCTGGAACCATCCAGGACTCCCCCCATATACGCAGCTACACATTCCACTTAGCTGGCCTCTCCTGACATCTCATATTTTATTAGAGTGCATACTCTATCACTTAGGTCATGAAAGGGTGAAATCTAACCCAGATCTTCGGCCTCTAAAACAATAGGATAAGATAAGGTTAGCCAGTAATTGTCCGTTGACCAGTACTCACCAACCAGAGCCTTTCTCAAATTCTGAATTTTTCAATATAACAGAAGCTGCAATGTCCCCGCAGCTTATTGATTACAATGTCCCTCCCCACCTCCCGGCTGTTGCTGTTGGGTTTCCGATCTGCTCGTCCAAGCTAACTCCCCTTACGAATATAATGTCAATCAAGCAGGCTGCTTTATTCTGGATGGTGTCATGCTTCTTGATTATCATTGGAGATTTTTTTTCCTCTATTCATTAACTGGATGAGGGCATTGCTGCCTAGGCAGAATTTATTGCCCATCCCTAATTGCCCAGAGGGCAGTTAAGAGTCAACCACATTGCTGTGGGTCTTGAGTCATATGTAGGCTAGACCAGGTAAGGATGTTTCCTTCCCTAAAGGACATTAGCAACTCGATGGGTTTTTCCGACAATCGACAATGGATTCTTGGTCATTGTTAGATTGTGAATTTCACATATTTTATTGAATTCAAATTCCACCATCTGCCATTGCAGGATTCGAACCTTGGTCCCCAGAACATTATCTGAGTCTCTGGATTAACAGTCCAGCGATAATACCATGAGGCCATCGCCTCCCCCAGATGCACTCATCTGAAGAAGTAGGGAGTATTCCATCACAATCTTGCTTTGTGAACTGTCGATGGTGGACATGCTTTGGGGAGTCAGAAGGTGAGTTACTCATCGCAGTATTCCTAGCCTCTGTTCCCGAACTGTTGTTCCGACTGAATTTATTTCACCAGCCCAGTTCATTTTCTGGTCAGTCATAATCCCCTGGATGCTGATTACAGATGATTTTCTGATGGTAGTGCGTTTGAATGTCAAGTGTCAATGATTAGATTTTCTGCGTTTGGAGATAATTATTGCCTAGCATTTGTGGTGTAAGTGTTACTTACCACGTTTCGGGCAATATTAACCCATCTCAATTTAAGTGGTTGTGTGCTACAAAGAGTACATAAAGTCTATGTACTATGAGGAATTAAATGGCCTAAACGGAGAGGTAGATTCTTGTGATGGACTCCATCTGTGTGGTGCAAAGAGGTTCACAGTTGCTATTTAATGGTATAAACAATGGGGTGGACTGTCTCATTGGAGGGATGTCTGTAGATCTGAATTGCAGGAAGCAGTTTCATCCATTGAGTGTGGCCAATAACTTGATTCGAAGGCATCCTATCCAAATGCATCATATCTTGGTATGCCAACTGCTCTGCCCAAGACTGCAAGAAATTACAGAGATTTGTGAACCCAGCCCAGTCCATTACAAAAAGCAGCCTTCCTTCAATTGTCACGGTCTAAACTTCCGACTGCCTGAGAAAAGCAGTGAACATAATCAAATGCACTCCTGCTCCATAATACACTCTCCCATCCTCTTTCATCGGGGAAAAGATAAAAAAAAATTGAAAACGTGAACCAACAGATTTAAGCACAGCTTCTTCCCTGCAGTTATCAGACGAATATATTAATCTTTCTATATCCTATATTAATCTTTCTCTGCACTTTCTCTGTAGCTGTAACACGAAATTCTACATTCTATTCTTTTAGCCTGACATATCTCTGTAAGGTATGATTTGTCTGGATAACACACAATATAATACTTTTCACTCGATCTTGGTACATTTGACAATAATAAGTCAAATCAAATCAGATCGTAACTGGTCATTGACATTATTGCCCACAACCTGTTTTGTCCAATTAGCCCATAATGTTATTAGAAGAGTATGAACAGAAAAGTAAAGTAGAAAACAAAACAGAAATTGATGGAAAAGCTCAGCAGGTCTGGGAGCATCTGTGAAGGAAAAAACAGAGTTAACATTTCGGTTCCGGTGACCCTTCCTCAGAACTGTAGAGTAAAATGAATTAGAACTTCATTTAAAGGCATGCAGACTGCAGAGACAAAGATAAAAGAGAAGAATCTGAGTATTCACATATAAGGTGCTTTCTATGGATAATAGCCATGAAGCATATTGTTATGTAAGCAAAGTGAGCATTTGCAGATGTACAAATCAAAGCACAGTTAGCATATAGTAATATGTTCTTTTTCTCCTTCTCTATCCAAATAGAGGTATTACGTCGATAGTTTTCTAATCCTCTGGAATTTATTTTGAATTTAACAATTATTTGAAGATCACTACTAGTCCATCCAATAACTCCGTAGTTACTATTCTCAGGATCACAGGATGTGCATTTAGCATCAGTTGAAGGAGTTTGTGAATTTGTGTTCAGGATTTACTGCTTATACAAGGATGAGGAAATTCAGTTAAGTGGTCAGACTGTTGAAAAAGAGGCTGTTCTTCAGATTCAGTCAAGAGGAATTGAATACAAGTAGGCAAGACCGTGATATACTTAATCAGAAGAAAATATCACACTGACATATTTGTAATAGCCAGAAAACCCAAGTGGAAAGCAATTGAAAAGTGAGATAGAAGGAACCTGGAAATCAAAATATTTACTCACTGAGTTGTTACAATGTGGAATGGACTGATGAAAGGATGCTGGAGGCTGATATAATAGTCACTTCCAGAAGGGAAATCGATAAGTCCTTGAAAAGAAAAATGAAGAAAGACGTTCTCTCATCTCTGTTCTATGTGTAAAATCCTGCTCTACTGTGTCGTGGTCTCAGAGAGCTCAGCTCAGCTATAAGAAGACAGATGCGATGGAACCACAATCAATTCCATGCAAACTATTGCATTTACTGTTTGATGGATCTGAGAACCAGAGTGAAAGGGAGCTTCACAACTGCTTTTAGCTGCTCTCGGAATTGCGTCTGGGTCACTGTGTACAAGCACGTGTTTGTGCATGTACTAAGGAGCTGCAGCAGGTATCCGATGGTGCCTACGGTTGGGGACAATGGAGAATAATCATGTACTAATGCAATTCGTTGATAAAGGAAACATATACAGTAAGGGAACCATAAACTAATGAAGCTGCCTGAGATTGCAAAGAGTAATATGATGGATTTTCTGCGTTTGACCATCTCTGGGTCACTGGTCTTCTCCCTGTCACTGTCCTTCTGGAGTCTCCTGCGGGCTTTGCTTGCTACTAAAACATGTCGGACGGTCAGAGTATTCAAAACAAGAATAATAACGAATGGTAGTGTAGGGGATAGAACACGATGGGATACACCATATAATGTCCAGAAGATTGAAGTGTAATACTCTGGTTTTATGACACAAAGCCATGGCAAGTTATTGAAGATGTACTCCGGTTGGAACTTGAAATACCAGGGAATGCTTTCCAAATAGCTCAGCACACTCACTGTTGCAATAATCCTGACTGCAGTTTTCTCGGTGCAGTACTTGGTTTTAAGCTTCTGGCAGCAAATAGCCACAAATCGATCAAATGTGAAAGCAACAGTCAACCAAACAGAATTAATTGTGGTTGCAGGAATAAGAACCATAATCAAACAACAGACATAAGTAATATCCAGGAACGACACTGGGAAATACATTATAAGCCACCTCAACAGCACATCAGATATGACAACGAAGAAATCAGCCACCGCCATTGCTACCAGGTAGCACGTCATACATCTTGAGAGACCGCAGTTCCTCCACGACAGAATCACAATCGCCAACAAGTTAACTTGAACACATAAAGAAAACCAGCTGGTTAAGTTTAATACATAAGGTTAACCAGATATTCTGTTGAATTTGTTGCATCAAATATTTGATATTGATATTTGATTCTATATGTGATTTTCACAGGCAATGTTTTGAGAAAATTATTTTAATGCAATTGTCATAATTTAGAGCAATATGAATTTCAAAAACATGCATGAATGCTCAAATATATCACTGCCGACAATGTCACAGACACCACTGTCACCATCACTGGATATGACTTGTCCCACTCACAATACTGACACAGCAGAAATGGCAACATATTGGTACACATTCAGAAGGGATTTTTTTCCCTGGAAGACCAAAACATTGACTCTGGGTGTCATAAAGTCTCATAGAATCAGATTAAACATGGGCAAGGAAACATCACAGTGATTACAATGATCTGCTCTTACTCAGCTGTTGAATTAGAATTCTTCCACAATAACTATGGAAGTACTTTAACTTCACCACCAATATTCGCTCAGCACTCGAGATCAAGCTGTTTAGGTCCTAAAGGACATAGCTGCTAGACTGTGTCTGCAGTCAATGATGAAGGGATCAACATTAAGTGGAAAAATATGCTTAGCCTCATTCTTATCAATCTGCTGGCTGCAGATGCATCGGCAATTGCCAGTATCTGTAACAGTGACCACTGCACAGTTCTTGTGGAAATGAAGTCCCACATTCATATTGAAAATATCCTCCAACATGTTGCATGTCACTATCGTGGTGCTAAATGAGACAGATTTCAAACAATTGTAGCAACTCAAGACTGAGCTTCAGTGAGGCACTGGGGGCTTTCAGCAGCTGCAGATTCATACTGTAAATCAACTTGCAACCTCATTGCCCAGCATATGCACCACTGTACCATTACCATCAAGCCTGAGGATCAAACCTCGTTGACTGGAGAGTGGAGGAGGGCATGACAGGAGCAGGACCAGGCATATTGGAAAATGAGGTGTCAACCTGGCTAAGCTATCAAACAGGACTGCATGCGTTTCAAACAGCATAAGCAACAAGTGACAGAAAGAGCTAAGTGATCCCACAACCGATGACTGAAATCTACCATTTCCAATTAAAAAAAAACACACTGGAAGAATAGGAGGCTACAGAAAGGTCATAAGTGACATTGTCTTCAGTACCATTCTTGCCCAGATACAGTTCATTCTCAAACAGAAACAATTGATAAAGTACACAGAAGTGGACAGATGTTACTTACCAGACACTCCAATAACCACGAGCACAGGACAGTAAATGAACTCAACATCAGCAAGTGTTGGTAGTGCATTGGAAGTATACTTCATTTTCTGTGTCAAATGTTTCAACCTTCACTTGAAACTGTCACTAACTCAAGGAGCTTATATACATAACAACGAATTCCTCCAAGGACATAATTAGGTCAATATTAGTTACAGTCTTATGAACAAACAGAAGTAAAACCTGCAAAGAAATGGTATTGGAATAAGTTGTTCAAATATCTAATGTGGACTGGGATCACAGAAACATAAGGCAGCCAGAATAAAATTCCATAAAGCATCTGTGTGAAATTTTGTAAAATGTTCCGTAAGGACGCAGGGCTGATTTTGCAAGCAGATGCAGTATATTAATTACATTCTTCCCTGGTATGAGGTCATCCTTGGCAAAGCCAGGACTCGCTGCCCACTCCTAAGTATCCTTGAGAAGGTGGTGGTGAGTGGTGGTCTTGTACCATGCCATCCACCTGGTACAGATGCACACACATATAGGTGCACACTTCATCAAGTTGGAAAGTGAGGTAGTTGATTCAGAGAATTCAGTCCTGAATCTTAATAAAGGAAATTACAATGCAATAAAGCATGAGAAAGCTATGATGGATTGGAAAAGTTGGCTGAAAGGATTAACAGTTGATAGATAATGACTAACTTTTAAAAAGTAAGTGGGTGAAATTCAAATATAGCTGATTCCTATCTGGTGCTGACGTACTATGAGAATAGTGGTCAAACTGTGGCATATGAGGGAAGTTAGAGAGTCTTAGATGCAAAAGAGGGACATACAAATTGGACATAAAAAGGAATAGACCTGAGGATTGGGAAAAGTTTAGAAGTCAGCAACAGTGTTTCAACGACTTTCTTAAGAAGGGGAATTATAACATGAAAGGGGGGTTGTGGGAGAACATAAGAACTGACTGTAAAACTTTTTATGAGCATGTAAGGCGGAAAAGACTGATGAAAACAAATAAAGGTCCATTATCGTTAATCTGTAGAACAGTAATCCCTTTGTATATTAATTTGTCTAAGTGTTCTGCCGTTTCCTGTAGATTTCCCTCTTGCATTAAACATTCCAAAATGCATTAGCTCACATTTGTCCAGATTAAATTTGATCTTCCGTTTCTCTACTTTTGTCTCTAGCCTATCTATATCCTGTCGTGTCCTCTGGCAATCTTGTTCAACATCTGCAGCTCCCCAAATATTCACGCCAACCACAATGTTACTAATCAGAAAACTTAAATTCTCCTCTAAATGACCAGTGTTTATCATCTTACCAGCTCACAGTTCCCATGTGAGTTCACCTTTTGTTCCAGCCTGACATGAGGGAACTTCATAAATATCTTATTAAAGTACATATAAATAACATCTCATTCCCCCTACAATCATCTTTGTCACTTCCTCAAAAAACTTAACAAACATGTCAGACACAAATTCCTTTACTCCAATTCATGCTGCCTATCACTGATAAGTCCACATTTTTCGAACTGTGTGTAAATCCTATCCCTAAGAATCTTCTCTAATAATTTCCCTGACACTGCCCTGAAGATTACCAGCCTTTAATTGTCTGGATTATTCCTGCTGTCCTTCAAAACAAACAAAAAACAATATTGGCTAATCTCCAGTCCTCCGGGACCTCTCCTTTGACTAAACAGGATACAGAGATTTCATACAAGGCCCCATCAATGTCTTTGCTTAGATCCCTCAGTATTCTGGAATTAATCCCAACTGATTTCCATATAAGCAAATCAACCTATTTGCCCTTGACTTTCAACAACATAGACCATAATGAATACCCAACAATTATGACCCTGAGGGTTAGAAATCACAAGTAACATGACTGGTACAGCCACATAAGAGATAAAGTCTACAACTGCTCTGATGGAAAACAAAAACACCTCCTGACTTGGCACTCCTCACAATCAAGAAGTCAGATATATGATGAAAATTACACATTTCTCTGAAAGAACAAATATGCTGAAAACATTCAGTAGGTCAGGCAGAATCTACGCAGAGAAACAATGGATATTTCATGATAATCATGTATCATGTTAGCCCTTACCAATCAGGAAAATTACCTTCAATTCCACATTTCAACAGTACTTGACAATTATCATGACCTCATGCATTTTCCATACAATGCCCCTCCCAATCTGAGTCTGATTGTTGTCCAAGTAGCAGTCTCCTCTCATGCAGGATAAATTTTCTTTTCAATTTGTGGCGCAATTTCTTATGATATTTATTGATAAGTGCAAAATTAAGACCTACCACAGAATGAATCATTTTCCAGCAATGTTTAAGGATTATATTTTATTTCCTTTGATTGGATTTATTGTATTCACATGTACTGAAGTACAGTGAAAAGCTTTGTTTTGCAAACAGTGCAGGTAGATCATGAGGTGCTTAGACAGAGCAATGCATGCAAGGTGACGGCTGCACAGGAGATGCACAAAGCAAGATCAACATGAGAAGGATCACCGTTATTTGAAGTTGGAGATTTCCATTCAGCAGTCTAATAATATCAGGTAAGAAACTATTCTTGAACCTATTGGTTCAAGTGTGTTCAAGCTTTTATATCTTCTACTCAACAGAAGAGGTTGGAAGAGAGCATTACTGAGGTGTGAGGGTCTTTGATGATGTTGACGGCCTATCCGCAGCAAAGAGAATTGTAAATGGAGTCAATAGATGGGAAGTCAGCTTCTGTGATGGTCTGGGCTGTGCACACAACTTTCTGTATTCACGTTCCTGGTCAGAGCAGTTGCTGTGCCAGACCATTATGCACCAGAATAGGATGCTTTCTATGGTGTATGTGTAAATGTTGTTAAGGGTTCTCGTGGACATCCTGACTTTCCTGAGCTCACAAGGGAACAGGAAGTGTTTTGTGCCTCTTTGTGAGTGAGTGTTTAATTTCTCATTTCCCTGGGTGAGAGACACTTCAACTGCGCTCAAAATGCTTCACATCATCGATGACAAAACAATTGTCTTGATCCCCATCTGCCCCCATTAGACGTCTGCTTCTTTAGCACTGGAATAACTGAAAGAGGGTTCTTTGACAATCCCCTCCCAAACACTTCTGAAATTTGTGTAAGAAATTCAATTCAGCTTTATTCTCATTGCCCAATGATGAAATGATTGAAGTGACTAAATCTTATTCAATATAAATATGAATTGTCACATGCTAATATCTGAATTGCACAATGAAGTGCAACATTTTTATTATTTATCCTTTGGCTGTAAGTGTGATTTCCACACAGTTCATTCATGTTCTTTCTACTTAATTCACAACCTTAAAATGTGTCAACTGCCTCAGCCCCATTCCTTGTGATGTTCTGTCTGTAGGGTAGTCTCTGATCCTTGGCTGACTATCCATTTCTCCCTTTCCAGGGGATTCCCTTTTGCATTTCCTTTCATAGTAAAGTTCGTGGAGACTGATTATCTCAACAGCAAAATACTGCAGACACTGGAAAATATGGAAAAAAAAGCAGAAGGTGCTGAACTAACTCAGCAAGTTTATAGTGGAACATAATTAGCATTTCGAATTTCTTCAGTACTAAAGAGAAAGGTGGAAGAGTGATGGGCTTTGTACAGGGAAAAGCTGGGGAGAAGCAATTGGGAACTAACAGCTGACCATAGGAAGGTTGCAGAATGAGGAAGAGTAGAGATCATAGTTTTCACAGGCAAAAAGGGCAAAGGGAGATGTGATAGAGGTATGGATTACGGATCCTGGGAATGAGTGAAATAAACCAAGAATACAAGATATTTAGGTCGGGATGGGTGGAAGGCAATGCTAATGGAGAATAGGGTTCACAGTTTGAAGTTTTTGAATTCAATGTTGAGTACCGAAGGTTGCAAAAGGAAATATGCTGTTGTTCCTCCAGCCTGCTTTGGGCTTCAACAACAGAAATGTGAGTGTGAGAACAAAATGGTATGTTGACTGCATGGATTTTAGTCAGGCTGTTGTTAGAAATATTCTGACTCTCAATTCTATCAATGCATCTCATAATTTTATAGACTTCTAAGAAGGTCTACCCTCAGCATCTGCCAGTCCAGAGAAAAGAACCTGAGTTTTACTTGCCTCTCCTTGTAGCTCATACCCTGTCACCCAGACAGCACCCTGGTAAACCGTTTCTGCACCTTCTTCAAAGACTTTATGTCCTTTTTGTAATGTGGTGACCAGAATTTAATGCAATACTGTAAGTGTAGACGAACCAAATTCTTATAAATCTGCAACATATCATCCTGACTCTTGTATTAAATTCCCTGACAAATAAAGACAAGCGTGCCATGCACCTTCTTTACCACCCAATCTATTAGTGTGGCCACATTCAGGGAGCTCTGGCATTGAACCCCAAGATCCCTTTGCATCTTGTCTGAAAGAATTTTCAGTAGCCTGTCCCATCCCTCTCTCAATCAACCCTCTGCAATGGCCCATAGTCCCATGTGCAGATCCAGAGTCTCAGCTCATCTGCCTTAACTATAATAATTGTTGAGTTGACATAAACAATTTCTTTAGCCCATCAGTAAAATCATGTTCATTTACTTGTCTCTGCCTGTTGTGTCTTTCTGACTCACTGATCATAACATCTAACTTCCCCTCAATCCATCCATTTGCTAACCTGCTGCTGTGGTTCCCAGCCACCTGCCACTCGAGTTTCAACCATCCAAATTTGCACTAGCAAACCTCCCTTCGAGGATTTGTCCTTCTTGAACCACAGCAGTGCACAGGCTGTTGGTAGTCGTGTAATGCCCTTCTGGAGAGAATTTCAGGATTTTGACAAAGCAACAGCAAGGTAACAGTGATATATTTGCAAGTCCACATGGTGATTGGCATGAGCAGGGACCTTGCAGATTGTGGTGTTTACCATGTATCTGTTGCCCTTGTCCTTTCAAATGGAAATGGTAATGTGTTTTGAAGCAACACTTCACCAGCACTTCACACAATCGAGTCTACTGCATTTGCTGCTCACAATGTGATCTCCTTTACATTGGGGAAACGAAGCATAGACTGTATGACCGCTTTGCAGAACATCTATGTTCTGTATGCAAAAATGACCCTGAGC